CGCCTGCTCGGTCCCAGCCTGGTGGCGTGGAGCTGCTAGCACTGGATGCACCTTCAGGCAGTTTGACGCGCTCTTGTATTCTCAGGGCTCAGGCCCACGTCCTTGCCTTTGCCTTGCTGCTGTTTTATTTTGTTTTTATTTGTTTGCTCGGAGATGATTCATTTCTCTTCAAAGGCCCGTGCCTGAAGCCCAGCAGTGTGTGCGACGACAGAGAGGAACTTTGTGGTTTCCCTGCAGGCAGGAGCCAGTGTTGACCGACCTGCTGGACAAATTGCTTGTGTTTGCTGTAGCGCTGCTGAAGGGCTTGGAGGCAATCATAGGTGTTTCAGGGATAACGCTATTAATGGGAGTTCTGGCTGTCATGGCTGTGGTGCTAGGAATTAGGAATATGGGACACCAGCCAAAACAGTGGGCTTTGGGCTGGCTGCTCTTCAGCACGTTTTGCTAGGTAGGGCTCCGCTGTGATACAATCAGCTCCCCATGGTGGTGTTTTTTTTTTTGTTTTTTTTTTTGCAACCTGAGATACACATTTGCACATCCCAGCAGCTGCCCACAGCAGAGCTCAAGGGGGAAAGGGCTAAGTCGACAGCGCTTGGGGCCGTTTTTCTGCAGCAGGTCCCCCCAGATGGGAAGGAGAGCTTCAGCCACAGCGGTCCTAATTTCTGCTGGGAACAAAATCTGAGCAGCACACTGAAAAGCTAGTCATCCTGTTGGCTCGGCACGGCAGGTGTGTGCGTTACAGAGCAGCGGGGGCTCAAATCTCACTGCTTGCCTTGGAAGGCTGTTGAAGAGCTTCGCTTGGCATCCTTGGTGAGGCTGGTGGTTGCACATGGACGTATACAGAGCGTGTTGTGTGTGTGCTTGTGTTTATATGTGCACAGCAGGTGAAAGAGCGCTGGCTGCTGGGCAGGAAGGCTCCAGAGTGACAGCTGTGAACCTGTCAAGAAGCACACCTAGCGCCCCGGATCAAAGCCAGGCCAACGCAGCACAAGAGCCTTGGCCTGCGATGCTACCCAGCGTTGCGTACCCAAGCCAAACAAAACTGAGGAATTCGTCGAGGTTACACATTCCCCGGCTCCCAGCTGAAAGGAAGGGTCTGTATTTTCTCTCTGGAAACTTTGGAGAATGTTACCCTCAGGCTTTCAAGATAAACAGTTGTAGTCACAGCCTAGCAATGCTGGCGGAGCGTCGCATGCTCTGCAGCGCGTGTGCCCACACGCACACACGCACGCACATGCGCGTGCGCGCGCGTGCACGCACACACACACACACACACACACTGCCTTCCCCCTGGCTCCCCGAGGGGAACCGTGTCCCTGCTCCAGAACAAGTGGCTCCGGTCACCTCCTGCCCTGTGCTCCAGGCTGTGGATGAACTGTGGAAAATGAGTGGGGAGCGGAGCAGAAAGAGCTGCTCATCAGTTTTAACGGATAAACTCAGCATTCAGCCACATAGCTACTGAGCTGAGGGTGCATTTGTCCTCCTGGCTTGAAATCTCTGTGCCAAGCTCTTTCCCCACTGGGTACCTTGCTTTGCTACAAGGATGTGCTGTTTTGGGGCAGACCTACATCATCCTTGGTGTCCAGCACACACCAGGACCCTGCACAGCTCTGCTCATCTGAGTGGGCCCAGGTTTTCCCTTCTTCAGCTTATTAGCGTGATTGCACTCAGCTGATACTCAAGTGCACAGCTTGGAGGCAGTCGAGGAGGACAATAATATGTGGAAATGCTCAATATAGTGGGGCAGTTGGTGCAGCGTTTGCTCAGTGGCTGAGCCCAGAGGCAGGCCAGGGAGGCTCCTGGCTGTGCGCTCCATGCCCTCCATGTATGAGGGGCCAGAAGAAGGGGTAGAGCCCCTGCTCCAGCGCAGGGGTGCATGGCAGCACCCTTTGCAGGGGTTCGCAGCCAAAGCATACTAAGGGCTTTTTTTTTTTGTCCTTGTTGAATATTGTTAGTATTGTTAGTCTTTGTTTTAGATATGGGAAAACTATGAGGCCCATCTTAACAAAAGCCATTTTCAGTGACTAAAGCCCCTCATTCCCATGAGGTTTAGGTACCCATAACTCTATATATCTATCTGAAACAATTTGTATAGTGTCATAAAGCAGGCTAATGGGAAGCGAACCTCAGTGCACCACTTCTGCATGGATTCACCATCCAGGCTGCTGGGGAGGTAAAACATCTCCTCCTCCCCAACTTTGCCCTCCTCACCAGGCTAAGCAGCTACTTTGGGGCAGTCAGTCTTTGTAGGTTATTTCTGAAGTGATTCCAAGTTCACTGAAATTAAAATATACCAATCTGTCTCCCTCGCCTTGGCCAGTTGTACGTGGCAGACCTTCTCCCGCTGGGCTTTGCAGGCATAGCCAGAAAGCAGCCCCCTTCGCCTGGCTGTGCGAGGTGTTTTCGCTGCAGAAGCTTTAGGTGACCTGAGCTTGGGCACAGAGCCTTGCTCAACCCAAGGGCCATTGAGTACAATGCCTCACTGGTGCCGTGGGGGTGTGTGTGTGTGTGTGTGTGCACATACACACTAGCACGTTTGCTGCTAAGAGCGCTCGTATTTCATGATGTGACACCATTTGCCACAAAGGGTGGATCAGCTGCATCACCTAGCTGTGGTTGCTCACTCTTCACCATATGCATGTTCACACTCTTCCTCTCAACAAACGTGTTCACTAGCAATTACTTTCAGGAGCCCTTGAAAGTCCCAGTTGGCACATGCCCTTCTGAAGGGCACCTCAAATCTGCCGCTTCTCTGGCAACATGGCGCACTACTGAGCCCAACGCAGCGCTGGTGACAGCTGAAGTCCCCCTGCCATCGCGAGGCCGGCGGCAGAGGGCTGCCTTATCACGGG